TATATATATATATATATATATATATATATGAATGATCTATTATCAATAAAACTCACATATTATTTAATATATAATTGGTAAATGCATTAATACAGTCCAAATATGGTGTAGAATAAATAAACATAGACTATATAATGATGTATTTGGATAAGGACATGACATGTCTTTGCATGTTTGCAAATAAATGCTACAATATAATTTATTTCCAAAATAAATGTGACACTCCATTATCAAGGGGGATTTAAAATATTTTCTTCAGAATGGTTTTAATGAGACAGCTGCACCAAAATTGGCCACTGAATATCTTATCACATTCTTCGGAAGCAGTGTTAGAAATTTCATTTTTAATGCCTAAAAAGCATTAGAAGTACAATACAATATAATAGAGATATTAAAAGAGACAAAGCCACTTTTTTGGTAACAGCATCTGCCTCCCTGATTACTGCTCAAGGCATTTCCTTTTGCCAACTTTCTACTTTCTTTAGCTTCATGATGGAGTTAGAATGCTGAAAATGATTCCTCGTTCTAAGAATTGGTCTATCTGATACCTGAAGCATCTTAGGTTCTGAGGAATCTACGAATATCACATTCATGAACCGATCTTTTTTTAAAAGAAAATTTGCAACTGAAAAGTTGGTCAAAAGAACCTTTTTCTTAAAACAGAAAAAAGTACATTTTGAGGAATAAAAACAGAAAAGAAGTGTTGCTTGTTAAATAATATGAATTTAATTCTTCTGACTTTCATGATATTGAATTTTACTGTTTTTTTATTTTGGAAACATGAATTTTTGTTAACAATAAACTTCATCTAATATTTCCATTGTTCACTTTGAGGTTTTTTAAATTGTTATTGATACCGATATACTTTATCAATTGTTCAAAGTACAAGTCAAGGAGTGTTAGCAGTGGGTAGTGTAAGAAAACCAGAATTGGATAGTCTTAAAATGCAAACACAATAGATATGAGCAACTGAATAAAGGTAAGGAAGTAGGAATAACTAAAAAGGATTAGGTGATGATCTAGTGATTACATATTGAAATGGGAAGAAAAATTCTTCGGAGTTTGCCTTTGTCTAAATCTTATTAATTAAAAAAAAGAGAGAGAGACAAGAAGCTCTGGGTTTGGGAAGGAACTCTTAATTCATCTTTCATATTTTTTTCAACACCTAATCCAGTAAGCATTCTATATACATTTGTTGAATGACTGCCTATGTATAGGCCCTATAAGTACCACAAGCTTAGAGATCATTGACAGATATGAAAGGAACCTTAGAGCAGGGGTGGTGAACCTACCTCTTTGAGGCCATATGTGGCCTCCTAGCTTCTTGAGTGTGGCCTTTTGACTGAGTCCAAGTTTTGCATAACAAATTCTTTTATTAAGGGGATTTGTTCTGTGAAGTTTGTATTCAGTCAAAGGGCCTCCCTTGAGGACCTACAGGGCCTAAGAGGCTAAATTACTTGCCCAGGGTCCAATAGCTAGAGAGTATCTGAGATAGGACTTGAACTGGAGTCAGCCCGTATCTCAATCAATTGAACATCTAGCTACTTGAAAGCTCTTCTTATATGGTACATTTACACATAATCAATACATTATGCTATTACAGCTATAAATGTTTTTGTATCAAAAGTTTGATTCTTTGAACTCAATTTTAACTGATTCCCCTTAGTAAAACATATTAATTCTATCCTCAAATTTTCCTAGGATATATTGTCTAGACATCTCCAAGGTTCCTGTGGTTTTCAATGAAAGGCAGTGCTGCCTAGTAGGAAAAAGCACTGAACTGGAAATTAGAGGCCTTGAATTTAAATATTGTATTTTCTATTTCCTGTATCTGTGATCTCAGTCAAGTTACTTAAACTCTCTGGGCCTCAGTTTCCTCATCTCTACAACAAGGGGGTTGAACTGGATAATCTCCAAAGTACCTTCTTGCTCTAATATATGAAATTTATCTATACATGTCATATATTCAATAGTGGAATATCATGGACTGTGTTACTTTAAAAATAAAAACTTCATGTACTCTCCACCTAGCACAGTATTGGAAAAATACTTTATCATTTATTAATATCGTTTGAATCTAGATTTAGGTGACTAGAAAATTGTCTAACCCAAAAGATCTCAAAAACACTTAGAGGGAGGTAGATGGCTGTGGAGATTGCTGAGATCCCACCCATGTCTTGTTTTGGATCCACCCAAGGCTTGTGTTTGGTTCTCTAAATCTGAATGTTTATACAGCACTTATCCACTTGGTTGATTAATTGTTGTCCTTCATTCTCAAAGAGGGTGAAAATGAAATCACTCTGTTAGAGTCAATGTACAGTGTGTCTGACCGGCTAAACAGACCAATACAAGTTAAGAAGGCTGTATCATAGGCTGGCCACAGATAGTCCACGTGAGCATTTCGAGTGGAGCTACTGTAATTCTGCTTTGCTCTCAGAGTACAGAATTTTCTTTGATGTGCCACTGCAAGCTGAGCTGTCCTTTGCCAGTGTCTCCCATGTCATACAATCAAATCCAAAGTTCTTCAGAGAAAACTTGGAAGTGAACTTTTATCATTTCTTCTGACCTCCATGTGAGCACTTGCTTTGTGTGAGTTCTCTGTAAAATAGTCCTTTAGGCAAACATACATTTGACATTCAAACAATGTGGCCAGCTCATGAGATCTGTGCTCTCTGCAGTAGAGTTTGAACACCTGGAGGTTTATTTTGAGGAAAAAAAGAAGTTTCAGTATCTATTACCTTATCTTGCTAAGTGATCTTCAGAATTTTCCTAGGACAATTCCAATGGGAGCAATTCAGTATCCTGGCATGGCACTGGTATACTGTCTAGGTTTCACAGGCATGCAACAACAAGGTCAGTACAATGGCTCTCTTAACCTTCAGTTTGGTAGGCAGTTTAATAATTCTTCTCTCTCACATTTTTCATAGCCTTCCAAACAGTGAGCTAACCTTGGCAGCTCATGAATCAACCTCATTATCTATGTGTACATCCCTGGAAAACATACTGTTAAGGTAAGTGAACTTATCCACAGCATTTACTATTTCTCCATTTGTTATAACTGATGGTTCCACATATGGATGGTGGTGTGCTGGCTGTTAGAAAACCTATATTTTCGTGATGTTACTTGTTAGGTTAAGATAACAAGGGGCAGAGAATCCACCTATACTTTCTTGTATCTCAGCCTCAGAGGCTTCATTGAGTGCATAATCATTTTGAACAAAAATGTTATGTGCCAACTTTCCCCACAAAGATGGGAAAAGAAGGCCACATCTTCTTTCAGCCCTCTCTTTTGCCAAATAACCTAATAAAATTCTTTCTAAAACTATTTCAGGTTTGGGAGTTTGTTCTCTACCAACAATTATCAATGATGGTACCTTGCACATATTAAATGCTTAATAAATATTTATTAAATTTAAATTAAATTAAAGTTGCTGAAATTATAATATGTATTGCATTAGCTATGTCACATCGTAACAACCTTAGACTTCATCTTTTGTTTTATTCTTTTATAAATAAGCAATATATTTTAGTTACAAGTTATCAATAAATGAAAAGGAAACTGAATTTAATTGGACAAAAGAAAATAAAGTTTTGAAATCATGGCTTCTTAATTTCTATAAACATCTTGTCTCATTACCACAAACTCTGAGGAACATGGAAAATACCTTTGGTATGCTACAGACACAATGATGTAGATTATAAATATAATAAAATGGCAACAATAATACATTTTAGAACCCACAAAGCTCCATTTTTGATTTATATGCTTATTTCTCAAAGTTGTATTTTGGAGTGCCTACTTGAAGCTGCAAATATCTTCTGCCTTTTGTTTATTTTTTTTTAGAATAAATGAATATTCATATTTCAAATTAAAATTGTCAAATACTTACAATCTTTTACTAACCCTAGGTAAAGTATTTTATTTCTGTTAATAACATTTATCTCACTATGATGATTTTCTTTTGCTTGATTAGTCTGAATCAGATATCACCTAGCACTTTATTTTGCAATTTTCCTATGCATTTATAATACGGCATATTATAGCTGTCTTTGTTGGAGTCTTAGCCTCCTACTTAACTTAAGATCCATGAGGATGAGAGCCATAACATATCTAAGATTTGTATCTCCAATAGTGATTAGCATAGTGCTCTGCACAATGCAGGACACAACAAAAATTTGTTGGATGCAAAAAATGTCTTTGTCTTTATGTTATACTTAATATACTTACATCCTATCTACACTGTCTTTTTATATAAAGATGATTTTGTGTTAGAGTACACAAAAATCATGATTCAGTTCCTTTTCCCTGAATCTAAATTGAGTTTTTATATGGATTTGAAAATATCTTCTCCCTTAACAGATTTTATTTTTTAAAAACACCATATACCTGGATTCTGAATTTAATTTATTACAACACACTACCAGTATGATAAACACAGTTAAAACAAAAACAACTTCTCTACTGTGTAGTATGATTTCTTCCTTCCTTCCTTATTGCCTTCCTTGCTTCTTTCTTTTCCCTCTCTCTTTCCTTTTATTTATTTATTTATTTTTTGGAGAGGAGAGTAGAGAAGTTAACCAGTTTACAGCAATTGAAAATTGAAGTAGTTCAGTAGCTAGAGCACTGGACATGTAATCAGGAAGATAGGAGTTAAAATTCAAATTCAAATACTAGCAGAGAGAGAGCCTTGGCAGAGTTCTCTAAAATAGGAATTATAATAGCACATACCTCCCAGAATTGTTATGAGGATAGAATTAAATAATATCTGTAAGGTGTTTATAAACCTTAAAGTGATATATAAATATTAGTTATAGTATATTATGTTCAATGGTATTTTCTGTGTAATTTTTAATTTTAGACTGCATTTGTTTACTCTGCCATCAGATTATTATGTTAAACACAGTTTTACAGTGTTTTGAAAAATAGGTGTAACCAAGTAGTAAGAGCATATGGAAAGTGAATTTTTTTGTTTGTTTTTTGTTTGTTTTTTTAGGCAATTGGGGTTAAGTGACTTGCCCAGGGTCACACAGCTAGTAAGTGTCAAGTGTTTGGTCTGAGGCCGGAAAGTGACTTTTTGCTTTATCTTTAAAAGCTTCCCAAAAAGATATGGAACATACCTCTTTATCTGGGGCCAGATGGTCAGTTTTGGAGGTAATTAATTGTGAGTAACAGTGAAACCAATGTACCTGAACTTGACCTAGATGTTCTATAGGCATATAAACTCAATGAGTCCCAAAACAGAACAGATTATATTTCTGCTCCTATCCTCAGATTAATTCCTCCTTCAAATCCCCTCATCCTATTCAGGGAATTAGCCTTTTAGTAACTCATATTCACAATCTCTACACCTCTCATATCTGTCCTCTTCTCTCCAATCACACAGACACTATTATACTTCAGGATTTCATCTTCTCTTACGTGGATTAATAACATGGTCTATGAAATTGATTTTCCTCCCTCTAGTCTTTTCTCTCCAAGCCATTTTTAAAATAATGATTGAATTTTATTCCTTAGTCATTGATCTGAACCCTTTATGATACTACTCAAAAATTTTCGGTGGTATCCCATTCCCTTTTCTATAAAATATGACTTTCTCAGCCTGGAATTTAAAGCCCTCCATAATCTGACTCCCACCAACTTTTCCAGGTGTATTTTTTATCATCCCCCTTCATAATGTTTCTGTCCATTCAAACTGGGATTCTATTCTTCATACATGATATTTCATCTCCTATCTCTATGCTTTTATGACGCAAATGGTATCCCATATTTAGAGATCATTCACTTCTTACTTTCTTCTTATAGAACCCCAACAAGACTTCAACACACATTTCAAATGACAACTCCTATGTGAGACATTTCCAGATCTCTACCACACTACCCAAATCCCTTCTCCAATTACTTTCACCCTCTCCTTTTTGAATGTATGTACTTTGTATTTACCTATTTACATGTATTTTTATCCCTTAATAGGATATAACTTCTTCGAGGTCAAGAACTGCTTTTTTTTTTTATTCTTTCACCTGCAGCATTTTGAATAGTACCTTGCACATGGTAGGCACTTAATAAATGTTTATTGGATTAAATTTAAGTGAATGCCTCAATTCTCCAAATCAAGGCATTTGGGATAGCCTATATGATCTGAATGGTATAGCAATGGAATGAGAAAAAGAGAATGAACAGAATTGCAAAAAGACTTAGTAGGAGATTTTTAATAGTCTTCCCTCAGAAACAAATGAAAATAATGGAAAGACAAGAAAAAAGGAAACTATTGAATGAACTAAAATGTTAGACTTTAAAACTGAAAAAAATTATTGCACCTCCTGAATGGCAACCCACACACAAAATTCATATTTCTTAGGACCACAATGAACTTTTAGAAAAATAGTATTAAGGTACAGAATAATTGAAAATGCAGGGTTTTTTTTAAAGCAAACATACTAAAATCATTCTTGACAAACCATAATTCAATGTTTAAAAAGTATTAAATTCACAGGAAACAAACTAATGACATTGAAAGAAATCTAGACTTAATAATGAAGTCCCAAATGATGAGTAAGTTGAAAATAAATCATAGAAACACAATTTTGTGAAAGAAAATCCTAATGATGATAAAACATAGAAATTTTTTTTTGGCAAATATCTAAAGCAATCTTCACAGGAAATATTATATTCCTAAAAGTATACATTGACAAAATGAGAGGAGAAAAAAAAAGGATAAATGAATTGAATAGGCACCTGAAACAATACAAAATAAACTAGTAACTAAAATCAGAACAAACATTAAAAAGAGAATCTTAAAAATTAGAGGAGAAATACATAAACTAGAAAACAAAAAAAAATCCAGAACTGATAAAAATAAAAGTTGGTTCTTCAAAATGGTTAGTAATATTGCTAAATCTTTAACCAACTTGATTTAAAAAGAGGAGAAAATCAAAGAAATTTTTAAAAAGTGACTGAATAGAATCATTACAATACCAGAAGAGAAATAGAAGTCGCAACTTACCATGCATATTCATATGGCAAGGTTACTAAGATGACAAGAGTATTAAAGAACTTCAAAAATATAAAATACCCAGACTAACAAATCAACAAATAGGGATATTAAATAATCCATTCTCAGAAAGGAAATAGAATGACTTGTAAAGGAAGTACTAAAGGAAAAATTGCTCATCTTGATAAGAAGAATTAATACTTTTGTACAGACTGATCATATGGTTTTCACATCTATGAGTAAGGAATAAATTCATAACCAAACAAGAGACAGAGTCCATTACAAAATTTAAAGTAAATAATTCTGATTATAGAAAATTAAGTTTTATTGTGCAAAAATCACAGCACTCATAATAAGAGAAGCAGTCAACTAAAAAGAAAACATTTCTAAGTGTTTGATTTCTATGATATGTGGACCATAAAGTGAATTAAGTGAGATTTTTAAAAATTTGGTTGTTATGGCACTAGATAAGTAATAAATCTAGGCAGTGTTCTCATTTTTATATTGCCTCAATTTACTCAAGAGCATTTAATATTTCTCTTATTATTTATTTGTTTTAAAGAGTATTTTATAATCATTTTCATATAGTTCTGAGCATTTTGGGGAAGGTAGATTTCCTATCTGTACTGATTTTAAATGGATTTTTTTTTTGTACTTCTTCCTGTTGAATGTTGGTGGTAATATACAGAAATGCTGATTATTTGTGTGGGTTTGTTTTATATTGTGTAACTTTGCTGTAGTTAATTGTTTCAATTAGGGTATTTTTAGTTGACTCTCTAGAGTTCTCTAAATAAACTATCATCTGCAAAAGTGACAATTTTGTTTCTTCTTTCCTATTATTATTTTATCAATTTCTTTTTTTTTCTTATTGCTATCACCAGCAATTTTACCACTTTGCTTAATAGAAAGGGTGATGGTTGGATAGCGTGCTCTATCCCTGATATTATTTGAAAGGTCTCTAGTTTGTTGGCACTACAGCTAATACTGGCTCTTTTTTTTTTAGATAGTACTCCTTATTTTCAGAAAATCTCCATTTATTCCTGTGCATTCTAATGTCTTTTTGTTGTTGTTGTTGTTGTTGTTGTTGTTGTTTCAATAAGGACTAGGTGTTGAATCTTGTCAAGGCTTTTATTTCATAAATTGATATTTTTTCACTTTTGGTCATTTTCCTCATTAAAATGGTAAATTATGGAGGCAGTTTTCCAAGTATCTCATTCTTTTCATTTTTTTTTAAATTGAGGGTTTTTATTTTTGCTAAAGAATATTTGTTCTTTAAATGTTTAGTGGAATTCTTTTGAAAGTATATGGAGTCTTGTTATTGTAAAGTTTTGTCAGCTCATTTATGGCTAATTTAATTGTGATTTCTATGACAAAGTTATTTAACTACTGTATTTCTTATCCTATTAATATGGACAACTTATATTTTTTGTAAATATTCATCCTTTTCATTTAGATTGTTAGTTTTATTGGTATATAATTGGGAGAAAGAACTATAAATTTAAAAAAATTATTTTTTACGATTGTGAATTCACATTTATTTTTTCCTGCTCATTTGCTTTTCTGCTTTGAAAATCAAATTATATATTAATTTATCAATTATACACTTTTTAAAAGCTCTAACTTTTATTTATTTTTGCTTAAAATATATTAATCTCTCTTTTAATTATCAAGAATTCTATTTTGTTGTTTATTATAGGATTTTGATTTTCTTACTTTACTAGTTCTGTCTTTACTATTTTCAATTTGTTGATTTTCTTTATTCGATTGATAAAAATGTTGATATGTTTACATTTTCCCCTCAGCACTGCTTCATGTTATCTCATGGTTATTTTCATTAATAAATTTATTTATCATTCAATGATTTTTTTAAATTTACCAGTTTTTAGGATTAAGTTATTTATTTTCCAATTAATTTTTAATCTTTGTTCCAAAGGCCTATTGTTTAATATAATTTTATTGTATTATAGTTGATAAGAGAAGTATTTAATAGTTTTACTTTTCTGCATTTGGGAGGTTTTTATGTTTTAATACATAACAGTTTTTGTAAAGGTGTCAAATACAGTTGAGAAAAGTATATTCCTTTCTATTTCTATTCAGGGGTCTCTAGAGAGCTATCATATATTCATATATCATATTCATAGGTATATAATTTTTAAATTTATTCATATTCTACATTTGTTTTTAGCTTTTTTTTTGTTAGATTCATTCAGATCTGTTGGGATAATTTGAAGTTCTCCATTATTATAATTTTATTTTCTATTTCTCTGTGTAACTGATTTACCTTTTCTTTTAATAATTTAAATGCTAGAACATTTGGTGAATCTATGTTTAGTATTGGTATTAATTCATTGTCTATGGCACTGCTCAGTAAACTGTAGTTTCCTTGATTGTTACCCCTGCTTTGTTTTATTTCTGCTGAAGCAAAAGGCTTCTGCTTCAGCCCCTTAGTATAATATTTTGAATATATTTCTGTTTCAAGTGTGCATCTTGTAAACAACGTATTGTTGGATTCTAGTTTCTAAACCAGTCTACTATAGCCATTCATTTTATGTGTCAGTTCATTTCATTCACATTCACAGTTATGATTAATTGTGCATATCCTTCCATCTTATTCCCTCATTTTTTTCTTTTTTCTTTTTCTTTTTTTAAATACAAATTTATTTATTTTTAGTTTTCAATATTTACTTCCACAAGATTTTGAAATCCAAATTTTTACCCCTTCTTGCCCCTCGCTCCACCCCAAGATGGCATGCATTCTGAATATCCCTTCCTCTAGTTTGCCCTCTCTTCTATCTCTCCCCCCCCCTTCTCTTATCCACTTCCCCTTCTATTTTTCTGTAGGGCAGGATAGACTTCTGTACCTCATTTCCTGTATTTCTTATTTCCCAGTAGCATGTGAAAACATTTTTTTTAAACATATGTTTTCAAAATTTTGGGTTCCAAATTTTCTCTCTTCCTCCTTCCCCACCCACCCTAATTAGAAAGGCAAGCAACTCAATATAGGGTATACATGTGTAGTTATGCAAAACACTTCCATAGTAGACATGTTGTAAAAAAGTAACTCTATTTCCCTTAATCCTATCCTGCCCTCCCATTAATTCTATTCTTTCTTTTGACCCTGTCCCTCCTCAGAAGTATTTGCTTCTGATTACCCCCTTTC